CTGAATACGTTCCGAATACACTGTATTTAAAGGTATATACAGTACAGCAGGGTACAGCAACAGCATGAAGAGAGAGAGAAAATGTCAATTTTTCTTTATCGCAAACTCTGATGTGAAAGTAGCGATGCATGTCTACCTTGGCAACAACTCATAAATAATTTATGGGGGTGTTAAATAAATGCTCCACACACACACACACACACACACACACACACACACACACACACACACACCACACACACACACACACACACACACACACACACACACACACACACACACACACACACACACACACGCATAGTCTATTTCCCAAACCCAATCTCTCTCTGCCATAGCCTGCTGTTGCAGTACTCCACGTCTCTGGGGACACATATTGGAGGTCCCTGTATAACATTGTATCGAATTTAGCACTGCGAATGCAGTTAGCTACTTTGGCGCTGAGCATGGACTAGACTGGTGATGGGAGGGAGGGTGGAAGGCACAGTGAACAATAATTATGGTTGTTTTGATTGTGAATATCTGATGGGGGGAAGAGTGACGGTGGTTTGGGATACGCATATAAATGCACATAGAGCCTCAGAGGCAAATGTAACTGTGACTAATCAATTTCATGTGTTTCTGGCGTGAACTCAATTAAGAGAGGGAAGATATGATTCTGTTGGCTAACCTTTCTAAAAAATAAAACAAAAAACCACCCAGAATTCAGAAACGTGTCAGTGGAGGATTATTAAGTGTTAACAATATTTGTGTGGTGGACCTTGAAAATGTGGGGAAATGTTTCCCTGTGTTTCTATCAGTGCTAAAAACGTTACCACTCCAAAATAGTGGTAATTTTCCTTAGATTTCACGGTTTCTCTTAGACCTTTAAAATGGCCAAACATGGCACAGACACCCCCCCCCACACACACACACTGAGTATATCAAACATTAGAAACACCTTCCTAATATTGAGTTGCACCCACCCCCTCCCCACCACAAACTGATGCGCCTGGCACCTAATACCAACTACCATACCCCGTTCAAAGGCACTTAAATATTTTGTCTTGCCCATTCACCCTCTAAATGTCACACACAATCCATGTCTGAAATGTCTCAAGGTTTAAAAATCCTTCTTTAACCTGTCTCCTCCACTTCATCTACACTGATTGAAGTGGATTTAACAAGTTACACCCATAAGGGATCATATCTTTCACCTGGATTCACCTGGTCAGTCTATGCCATGGAAAGAGCAGGTGTTCTTAATGTCTTGTACACTCAGTGTTTGCTCTTGTCAGTGGTAATTGGCTGCTGGCTGACTCACTCTCTAATTGGAGGGTAGCTGTCAACAGTACAGGTATTCAAGGCTGCTGCAGCCAGCAGCACAGAGAGAAAGAGAGCCAGTGAGTGTAGCCACATTACAGATGGAGAGAGAGAGAGAGAGACAGTATAGCCACCACCCACCAACCCAGACAGCCACATCAACACCAACTCGCTAGAGAAGAGAACAGCATAGCTTAGAGGAGCTCTGTATATGTAGTCATTTATTTTCTTTGTCTCTGTCTCTAGTATTTCTTCTTCATCCCAGATGCATGTCTAAATGAACTTCATTTAAAATCTGACACAAAGGGAAAGAAAACAAACAAACAAGCAAATTGAGGGAGTGTAGTAGACAGTGGCAGTTGGTGCCGTTTAAGATGAGGGAGGATTATTTAATTTTGAATACAATGAATACACCCCTGATCACACACCCACACAGTTCACTTTCATAGCAGCCACATACAAACTATTTATTTATATCTACGCGCTCTTCTCCTCTCACCTTTTCCCTTCGCTTGTGGACTTCAGTGCACAACACATCAGCTGTCTGTGACCAGGCGAAAAAACATTTCCAAGCCAAACCTTCATATCATGACTGCTAACCGCTACAACACAGCCTACATCGTTGTCACATCATAGTCAACATAGCTACTAGAACTAACACATTAGTAAACCTGCTACAATTATGCAGTACAGTGTAATTGTACAGTCAGCAGCATGCACTTTAGCAGTTACACCGGTGGGCCCCGGTGGCAATAAATTAATACAACCAAAAGCTTACCTTGACTTGGAAGAGTTCCAGTGCTGGATAGCCATAGCCAGCTAGCTAACATAGCATCCCTCTCTGTTTAGGCCAGGTGTTTGAGTAGGCTATACTAGCTAGCTGCATTTAATGCTAGCTAAGTAAGTGAAAGTGAAAAAAATATGATATGAAATATCTCTCTCTCTCTCTCTCTCTCTCTCTCTCTTGCTTCTCCTTAATTTTGGAAGAAATTAATTTGTTCACTGTTCAACTTTTGTCTTTCTCTCTGTTTGAGTCAACTACTCACCACATTTTATGCACTGCAGTGCTAGCTAGCTGTAGCTTATGCTTCCAGTACTAGATTCATTCTACGATCATTTGATTGGGTGGACAACATGTCAGTTCATGCTGCAAGAGCTCTGATAGGTTGGAGCTCCGGAAGTTGTCATAATTACTGTGTAAGTCTATGGAAGGGGGTGAGAACAATGAGCTGCTTAAGTTTTGTATTGAAGTCAATGTACCCAGAGGAGGACTGAAGCTAGCTGTCCTCCGGCTACACCATGGTGCTACCCTACAGAGTGCTGTTGACGCTAGTAGCATTCAAAAAGTATTCAGACCCCTTCACTTTTTCCACATTTTGTTACGTTACAGCCTTATTCTAAAATGGATTTAATTCAATCTACACACAATACCCCATAATGACAAATCAAAAACAGGTTTTTTAAAATTGTTGCAAATTTATTACAAATAAAAAACTGAAATATCACATTTACAAAAGTATTCAGACCCTTTACTCAGTAGTTTGTTGAAGTACCTTTGGCAGCGATTACAGCCTCGAGTCTTCTTGGGTATAACGCTACAAGCTTGGCACACCTGTATTTGGGGAGTTTCTCCCATTCTTCTCTGCAGATCGTCTCAAGCTCTGTCAGGTTGGATGGACAGCTATTTTCAGGTCTCTCTAGAGATGTTTCAATCGGGTTCAAGTCCGGACTCGTCCCGAAGCCACTTATGCGTTGTCTTGGCTGTGTGCTTAGGGTCGTTGTCCTGTTGGAAGGTGAACCTTCACCCCAGTCTGAAGTCCTGAGCGCTCTGGAGCAGGTTTTCATCAAGGATCTCTCTGTACTTTGCTCCGTTCATCTTTCCCTCGATCCTGACTAGTCTCCCAGTCCATGCCGCTGAAAAACATCCCCACAGCATGATGCTGCCACCACCATGCTTTACCGTAGGGATGGTATTGGCCAGGTGATGAGCGGTGCCTGGTTTCCTCCAGACGTGACGCTTGGCATTCAGGCCAAAGAGTTCAATCTTGGTTTCATCAGACCAGAGAATCTTGTTTCTCATGATCTGAGAGTCCTTTAGGTGCCTTTTGGCAAACTCCAAGTGGGCTGTCATGTGCCTTTTAATGAGGAGTGGCTTCCGTCTGGCCACTCTACCATAAAGGCCTGATTGGTGGAGTGCTGCAGAGATGGTTGTCCTTCTGGAAGGTTCTCCCATCTCCCCAGAGGAACTCTGGAGCTCTGTCAGAGTCACCATCGGGTTCTTGGTCACCTCCTTGACCAAGGCCCTTCTCCCCCGATTGCTCAGTTTGGCCGGGTGACCAGCTCTAGGAAGAGTCTTGGTGGTTCCAAACTTCTTCCATTTAAGAATGATGGAGGCCACTGTGTTCTTGGGGACCTTCAATGCTGCAGACATTTTTTGGTACCCTTCCCCAGATCTGTGCCTCGACACAATCCTGTCTCGGAGCTCTCGGACAACACTGTAGACCTTCATTGCAAAACAGTGTGTTTTAATCAATTATTTGGTGACGTGAATATATTTAGTATAGTTTTATCTAAAAAGGATAACTTTTGAAATGTTTCACTATTTTTATTGTTATGAAATTCACTGAGGAGGATGGTCCTCCCCTTCCTCCTCTGAGGAGCCTCCACTGGTAGTGGAGTTGACAATTAAGATGGAAGCCATCTTTGTCCCGTCTTTGTGATATTATCCACAAAGAGACGGAGATAGTAGTGGAGAGAGATATTTGGATTAATCAATAGCCACAGAGCACAAGCTGAGGGGCTAGTGATCCCTACAGAGACCATAGAAACTATAGTAGACTTAAAGGTCACTGCCTATTACCTTGAAGAGCAAAGGACGGGACCTTGTTGGGAAGATTTGACACATGGCCTAAGCTCTGCTACTCTTTGTCCCCCTTCTCTCTTCATGTGGCCTGGTCTGAAAGGATACTGTCAGTGAACGTAACAATGACAAGACAGTGAGACTATTCTAAATTGCTCACCTCCTTGTTGGTTGGATACAGGTCGACTCCCATCTTCCAACATCTTGCAAACAGTTCTATCAGGTCGGTAAGCAGACAGAATGCAGCAACACCATTGCTACGGCTAGCAGAAGTCCCATGTGTCACTGGATAAATGGCTAAATTCCTGCTTATGAGTTCATGGGGAAATGTAACACAGACATAATTCTTTAGTAAATTATTTTATTGGTTTTCTGTTGTGATGAAAGCTTTTTTTCTTCAGAATGAACTTGCTCTTCCCTCTCCAAAATATTGAACTGACTGTGCATCAGTGCCCTGATTGAACTATTAAATGAAACATTCATTATACTGTAGTTTAAATAGCCTTTCTTCATAATTGATTTGTTAACCACGTTTGATGAAAGTTTAATTGGGAGTTAAGTGAAATGGGGTTTTACCAATAAGTGCCTTACAAAAGTTTTGATTTCTCTCCACTTCACAATTCAAACACAGTGCTTGGTCCTATGTAAAGTTCATTATCTGCTCTCTCTCTCTCTCTCTCTCTCTCTCTCTCTCTCTCTCTCTCTCTCTCTCTCTCTCTCTCTCTCTCTCTCTCTCTCTCTCTCTCTCTCTCTCTCTCTCTCTCGCTCTAGTGATGGATGGGCAGATCGTGATGAGGTGGTAGAGGGGTATGAACAGGAAGCAGAAGGTGGGATCACGATGAAGCTGCAGTCAGAGGAAGTGAAGTCATTTGATGACTACTTCCTGAAGCTGCGTTTGGACACCAACACACGGAACCCGTGGTTCCCAGAGTTCTGGCAGTACCGCTTCCAGTGCCGGCTGGCCGGACATCCACAGGAAATGAAGAAATACAAGAAAGTCTGCTCCGGTGAGAACCACTAATAAACTACATTACCCAGAGTCATGATGAATTAGCAGGGTTTAGGTTGGGAGGAGGAAGGTTATATTTTGACCACAATGTCAATACATGATGAGTTAGGCTGGGATAACATGAATAGTTAATCTTAATGTTTTGAAATAGCAATTGTATGATAATGATATTGAGGTCTCCCTTTTTCCCCCTTTCCAAATACTCTCTCTGCTTGCGAACAAAAGGTGATCTAGGTAAACTGAGTTGTTGCCCCACCAAAATCACTAACATATTTTTTATGGATATTATTCACAACAAATCACAATTAACATACCGATTAGATGTATTACCTGAAACAATGCTCAATAAGCATGCTTTCAAACATTTTGTTAGAAAAGCTTTTCTAAGTATTGATGTTGTTGTGAGTGTGTTCACCTCAACATTTAGGTATTATACATGTACTACTTTGTAATACCTGACTCTCTTAAGACTTATTAAGTAAACCAATATGGGTTGATCTAAGATAGTTTGCTGTATCTCATGTTATGTTCTCTTCCTAAAGATCTCCAAGGTGGTAAGTGTATATTTCAGGATTAAGGAGATGATGACTTTACCTGCACTTGCATCGTACTGTATAAGCACATCACTTCACTTCGGCAAGACTTGTAGAGTTTGACTGGTGCCAGCTCTGAGGATCATGTTGGCCTCTTGTTCTACCTCTAGACCAGTGAAATAAATAGAAAGCTCCAAATTGGCTGCTGTGTTCGGAGAAAGCCTTTGGTAGGGTCAAATCAGTCAAACTCTACTGTACAAGCTCTTGGGTTGTTTTTTTGAAAGTACTGCAATGTGGAGGGAGCACAAGGAAGAATGAGTCACTGAAACACCCCTTTCAGTAGAACACCACGGTAACGGTATGAGAGCGATGTGTTCTATACCCCCTCTGCTGCCTATCTGCATGATCACCACAGACAAAATACGGCCATTTTGTAAATGTATAGAGAAACAATAGGAAAATATGGAGAGAAAATGGATTGAGATTTAAGCAGTTAAACATTCACGGAGTAGCACCTCAGGTACAGTATGATAATAGGGTGAATGAATGTATCTTTTAAAAAATGTCACTATTAGTGCTATGGTTGCCCTATTCCCTGTGCTTTGTTAATGTCCACCTTTGATTTGCCAGTTGTATTGCCTGACAATGCTTTCAGCTGGCTGATCAAAAATGCTTGTTACACAATATGGTGTCCACAGACTTAACTGTTTCTCCCTCAAGATTCCTCCAAGTTCTGTATCCTTTGGAAGAAAATAAGCCTTTGAACACCTTATTGTGATCTACTGTATGGTGTGTGCCAATTCTATTGTGCTGCAAAAGAGAGATGTTTTTGTTGTATGTTTTGATCCAATTATAATTCAAAACTCAGTTCTTTATGGGTAGGAGAAGGTTAGTTGTATAATTCTCTTGTGGTACAATATTGTTTGTGACAAAATGTTCACATTGATACGGCATTGTAAATCCAGCACAAACAAACAAAATGTTCGCCCTCCTTAGAAAAACAACATCAACCAATCCCCCATTTTGACATTCTGTAAATTTCTCACCAATCCCTAGGCAACGAGAGTCTTCATGAGAACTACGTCCAGGACAGTAAGATGGGCTTCGTCATTAATGCCATCTATGCCATGGCCCACGGTCTCCATGACATGCACAGTGAGCTGTGCCCTGGCCAGCCAGGCCTGTGTGAGGCCATGGACCCCATCGACGGCAGCAAGCTGCTGGACTACCTGCTTAAGACCACCTTCAGAGGGGTATCAGGGGAGGATGTGTACTTCGACGAGAACGGGGACACTCCTGGCAGGTGAGGGACATGGATGGAGTAGGAGGAGAGGAGGTGGCGAAAGGAGGAGGAGGAAGAGGGGGATGGGGGGGTTGCTATGGAGAATTGTTGGTGAGCAGATTTTGTGTGAAATGACTATGAACACATATGTATGGGCATACGTACACACACACACACACAACGTACACACACAATGTACACACACACACACACACACACACACCTTAACCACTCAGAATGAATGCCTAAACTGTTAACCTTTGAGTTATTTTTATTTTAACCCTGTAACCACACAGATTTAACCCTTTAACCACACGGAATTAACGCATCGAAAATAATATGTCGAATTTCGAAGGGAAAATATGAGATCTTGTTGCCAGCCAGCTACAGATAGTCCCTGAAAGACAGGTGAAAAACACCCCCAGTCATCTGTTTTTCAGCTAGAGATCAGAGCTAGTACTTAGGCATGGCCTCATAATCAAAATAGATCTGGGTTCTAATCCCAAATTGGACGTTCTGTACCCCTCTAAGTGGCTTTACCTGAAATTGCTTGGCAAAACTTCCAACTATATAGTCTGTAAGATGTTAAAGTGATTGAATAAAGGGGTCTGCTCTAAGCAAGGGATTTAGGGGTTATCATTAAATCACCTGCCACTTATTCACTCTTAATTTATCCCTTTCTCTCTTTCTCAATTTTGCCCTTGCTCGGTGTCTTTCTCTCTCTCTCCCGTAATCTCTCCCTGTCCCTCTCCATTTATCTCACCCTCTCCATGTCTCCCCCCCCCCCCCCCCCCCCCCACTCCCTCTCTCTCTCACCCCTTCACCCTCTCCTCTCCCCCTCTCAGGTATGACATCATGAATCTGCAAAGTGTGGGAGACGGTAGCTATGACTACCAGCAGGTGGGCTCATGGCACGAGGGCATTCTGAACATCGATGACTGGAAGCTGTGGATGAACAACAGTGACATGGTCCGCTCCGTCTGCAGCGAGCCCTGCTCCAGGGGACAGATCAAGGTACAGACACTGAAAAACCACGCTGAGCCAGGTTGGGCCAGGGTGGATTGGGATAGGTCCTGAACCAGTCCGTCAGGAATACCCAGAATCCAGTTTAGTGCACAACTACTTTGACTATGTTTGTGCTTTAATGATTTTGTTTAATCTTATTTTAACTAAGTTTGCTCTGTAAATTGATCCCTAGCTTAGGAATTGATGAGCAGATTTAGTTCCTGGTTGAAAAGGTATAATTTCATTGTGTATTAACACAATGCAGTGGAGCCTATATTATCTTGAGGAAACACCTTGAGTCTCTCCAACCAGGGCCAATGTTATTCAGCCTGGCCATAAGACCCCCATAGGGAGCATGCACACTCTCCTGTCTGCTTTAGCTGGGCAAGCAACAGCTTTGTTTACAGTGCTGTGCATCACCCTGTTTTACATATCACTGCTCTGGTAACATACACTCTAGGAACAGGACAAAGTAAATGCAGCTGAGCTTGTCTATTGGAATATAATTTGTGTGCGGCTAAGGAAAAACTGTTACACCATATAGGTTATTATAAAATGCACCTGACTTGACTTATTAATTTTAGCTCCAAGTGGCGCTTCAACTTGCACCATCAAGGCCATATTAGACGCTAATACCCATCTTTATATCTGATTGCGGTTAGTGCTGTGTGGGTGTGGGGGTTGTGATTTGTTGTGGTTTGGGTATTGGTATTGTTTTGACTGAGAGCTTGTGACCTCTGACCTCTTTGTGATCAGGTGATCAGGAAGGGCGAGGTGAGCTGCTGCTGGATCTGCACTACCTGTAAGGACAACGAGATTGTCCGGGATGAGTTCACCTGTCAGGCCTGTGACCTGGGCTGGTGGCCCGATGACGAGCTGGAAGGTAACTAACTAACTAACTAACTAACTAACTAACTAACTAACTAACTAACTGGGAACTATCTATTTATGTGCCATAATAACTGACTACATGGCTCTACCTAGCTGTAGCTCCCCCAGCTCCTACCCCCTCTAACCCTACTATCTTCTCTAACCTGTATGTCTGGCACAATACACAAATTCATATAATTTCATAGCTCGCATCCACCTGTGGGCTGCCACTCAAAAATAAGAAGTTTTAAAAAGTACACAAATACAAAGCATTGATCACCATGATCATACCACAGAGCCAAAAAGTAACAATACATTTAGTGTGTAAAGAAAAAAAAGAAGAAACATATTCTATTCTTGACACAATACATTATTTACTATTCAGTTCTATTGAGTACAAAATAATCTGAAACACAACCAAAACAAACAGCACATGCATTCAACAAATTTGTAGAGTCACAAGCTTGATGTAGTCATTGCATGCTATAGTACACACATAAGTGAATTTGTTCCAATACTTATGGTCCCCGAAAATGGGGGGACTATGTACCAAGAGTGCTGTCATTTCTAATATGGATTAAAATACCCTCAAATTAAAGCTGACAGTCTGCACTCTAACCTCACAGTCATTGTATCATAACCAAAGTGCTGGAGTGCAGAGCCAAAACAACAACAAACTTGTCACTGTTCCAATACTTTTGGAGCTCACTATATTTCTCCATATTCTGTTCCAGTTACTTTTTTAATGGCTAGCTCAGAATATGAGATTTCCAAAAGTTGCTCATATATTATAGAGATCAGTCCTTTTGGGAGCCCAGATCATTTATTTAGAAATGCCATCATTGGATGGTTCAGTTATTGGGTTTCCCAAGGGACCATAGAACAAAGGAGTTGCCTGGTAATGTATATGTGTCTTTCAAATCTTGGAATGTTCTCAAACCATTACTGCCCGTGATATCAGCAAGGATACAGATTCCACATTTGGACCATTGGGTGGATGTAAAAGGCCGCCCTCCAGATCGCAAAGCCTTATTGTGAAATATTGGAGTGTGGGCATGTCATTTTGATTTCCAGTTACGTTGTTTTTCAATTTTCCACCAAATAGAGATTGTGTAAGCAATAATAGAACCAAAGCGTAGTTTACATTGTTTAAGGGATATATATCAGTGAAGACCACCGCTTCCAGGGCAATAGGAGACACCATATTTCTTTCTATACTCAGCCAGGGGAAGGAAGAATCATGTCTAAACCAATTTAGGATGGGATGAAATGCTAATGCCTGGAAATACAATTGAATGTTTGGTACGGATAGTCCTTCTACGTCTTTCCCTCTTTGTAAGTTTGTTAATTTTATCCGGTATCGCTTACCTTGCCATATAAATTTTTTAACCGAACTATGGATTTTATCCCAATAGCCTGAAGGGGAAGACAAGGGAAACATTGAACTACAGAAATTCAGCTGTGGCAATATATTAGTTTTGACAATAGATATTTTGCCGGTTAAAGCAACTGGATTGTTAGCCCATCTGCTGAGGTCGGATTGAATTGATTTGAGTGTTCTGTTAAAGTTTCTAGCAATGGTTTTATCTAAGGTCTAGATAAAGTAGATATCGTCAGCGTATAATGAGATGACGTGATCTGTAAAATTGAGAGATATTGGTGTAATTTCTGTTGATTGTATAATTGCCTGGGCCGGGGGCTCCATAGACAATAACAATTGCAGAGGTGTGATGGGATCACCTTGCCTGCTACTTCTAGTAATTCTGAATGGAACAGAGCAGGTACTGCCTGTTATTACTATGGCTGACGGATTGGCATATAGTATTTTAATCATATTAATGAAATTGGAGCCAAGTCCCCTATGTTCCAAAACCAACCAAAGATATTAACATTCTAGTCTATCAAAAGCTTTTTCTGCGTCGAGAAATAGAACTGCCCAAGGAGCTTTGGTTTCTGATGAAGGATATACAGTTGAAGTCGGAAGTTTACATACACCTTAGCAAAATACATTTAAATTCAGTTTTTCACAATTCCTGACATTTAATCCTAGAGTTAGGATCACCACTTTATTTTAAGAATGTGAAATGTCAGAATAATAATAGAGAGAATGATTTCTTTCAGCTTTTATTTCTTTCATCACATTCCCATTGGGTCAGAAGTTTACATACACTCAATTAGCATTTGGTAGCATTGCCTTCAAATTGTTTAACTTGGGTCAAACGTTTCGGGTAGCCTTCCACAAGCTTCCCACAATAAGTTGGGTGAATTTTGGCCCATTCCTCCTGACAGAGCTGGGGTAACTGAGTCAGGTTTGTAGGCCTCCTTGCTCGCACACGCTTTTTCAGTTCTGCCCACAAATTTTCTATAGGATTGAGGTCAGGGCTTTGTGATGGCCACTCCAACACCTTGACTTTGTTGTCCTTAAGCCATTTTGCCACAACTTTGGAAGTATGCTTGGGGTCATTGTCCATTTGGATGACCCATTTGCGACCAAGCTTTAACTTCCTGACTGATGTCTTGAGATGTTGCTTCAATATATCCACATCATTTTCCTTCCTCATGATGCCATCTATTTTGTGAAGTGCACCAGTCCCTCCTGCAGCAAAGCACCCCAACAGCATGATGCTGCCGCCCCCGTACTTCACGGTTGGGATGGTGTTCTTCGGCTTGCAAGCATCCCCCTTTTTCCTCCAAACATAACGATGGTCATTCTGGCCAAACAGTTCTATTTTTGTTTCATCAGACCAGAGGACATTTCTCCAAAAAGTACGATCTTTGTCCCCATGTGCAGTTGCGAACCGTAGTCTGGCTTTTTTATGGCGGTTTTGGAGCAGTGGCTTCTTCCTTGCTGATTGGCCTTTCAGGTTATGTCGATATAGGACTCGTTTTACTGTGGATATAGATACTTTTGTACCTGTTTCCTCCAGCATCTTCACAAGGTCCTTTGCTGTTGTTCTGGGATTTATTTGCACTTTTCGCACCAAAGTACATTCATCTCTAGGAGACAGAACGCGTCTCCTTCCTAAGCGTTATGACGGCTGCATGGTCCCATGGTGTTTATACTTGCGTACTATTGTTTGTACAGATGAATGTGGTACCTTCAGGCATTTTGAAATTGCTCCCAAGGATGAACCAGACTTGTGGAGGTCTACAATTTTCTTTCTGAGGTCTTGGCTGATTTCTGTCAAGCAAAGAGGCACTGAGTTTGAAGGTAGGCCTTGAAATACATCCACAGGTACACTTCCAATTGACTCCAATGATGTCAATTAGCCTACCAGAAGCTGGAATTTTCCAAGCTGTTTAAAGGCACAGTCAACTTAGTGTATGTAAACTTCTGACCCACTGGAATTGTGAAACAGTGAATTATAAGTGAAATAATCTGTCTGTAAACAATTGTTGGAAATATTACGTGTGTCATGCACAAAGTAGATGTCCTAACCGACTTGGCAAAACTATAGTTTGTTAACAAGAAATTTGTGGAGTGGTTGAAAAACGAGTTTTAATGACTCCAACCTAAGTGTATGTAAACTTCCGACTTCATCTGTAATATATGTAATAGACAATGGAGGTTATCTGAGAATAATAGTTTTTTACCAATTTAGGTTAATACGTTTTGAGATGGGACGACAGAAGTTTAGAAGATATTTTAATATCTGATGTACTGATTTCTATACTCTTATTCTCTCTGTTTCACTCTGTCACGCCCTGACATAGAGTTCGCAAGTTGGTTTGGTCAGGGTGTAAATATCTATGTATGTGAATATCTATGTTGTGTATTTCTATGATGGCCGGGTGTGGTTCCCAATCAGATGCAGCTGTCGATCGTTGTCTCTGATTAGGGATCATACTTAGGTAGCCATTTTGCCTACCTATGTTGTGGGATCTTGACTCTTGTTTGGCATGTTTGTGTGTAGCCATTGTGAGCTTCACGTTACGTTGCTTTTGTTGTTTTGTCGTGTGTTAACTTAGTTAATAAACATGTATGCATTCCACGCTGCACCTTGGTCCAATCCTGTATTCAACGAACGTGACAGAAGATCTCACCACCAACGGACCAAGCAGCATGCCCAGGAGGAGCAAACACCCTGGACACAGCGGGACGCAACATTGGTAGATGTCCTCCTCGGTTGGGGGAAAATTACAGAGGAGTAAGCCGTCCGTTACGGTGAGGTAATGGAGGAGGTCTGGAGTCCGGATCAACGGCGCTGACGACGAATGAAGCCCGAGAGACAGCCCCAAGAAAATGTTGGGGGGGGGGGGGGGGGGGGGCACACGGGGTGGTCGACGAAGCAGCAGGAGGCCGTGAAAGGGCTGACTGTGGAGGAGGAGGCCGCTATTGTAGAGGTCCTCCAAGACCTGCGGATCAGCAGTATGAGAGAGGAGGCCACCACATTACGGGGGCTGTTAGAGAAGAGGGAGCAGGAGCTCTCACTTCAGAAGGAGGCGCTGCAGGAGGCCCAAAGGGAGAAGGAATTAGTGGATGCACGGAGAGAGGAGCTGGCCAGGCAAGAGCTGGCAGAGCCAACTCCCCGTACTCATTTACATTTTAGTCATTTAGCAGACGCTCTTATCCAGAGCGACTTACAGTTAGTGAATACATTTTTTTTTTTTATACTGGCCCCCCGTGGGAATCGAACCCACAACCCTGGCGTTGCAAACGCCATGCTCTATCAACTGAGCTACATCCCTGCCGGCCATTCCCTCCCCTACCCTGGACGACACTGGGCCAATTGTGAGCCGCCCATGAGTCTCCCAGTCACGGCCGGCTGCGACAGAGCCTGGATTCGAACCAGGATCTCTAGTGGCACAGTTAGCACTGCGATGCAGTGCCTTAGACCACTGCGCCACTCAGGAGCTGTAAGGAGAGTGGTGTTCATTGACGAACCAAGTTATGCGGAGATACGCACTGTGTCGCCAGTGCGCTTTCACAGCCCAGTGCGTCCTGTGCCAGCGCCCCGCACATGCCGTGCGAAAGTGGGCATCCAGCCAGGACGGGTTGTGCCAGCTTTACACTCCAGACCTCCAGTGCGCCTCCACGGTCCAGTATATCCTGCTCCGGTTCTACGCACTGTGTAACCAGTGCGCCTCCCCAGACCGGTACGCCCCGTACCTGCTCCCCGCACCAAACCAGTGGTGCGTGTCTCCAGTCCGGTACGGCCCATGCCTGCTCCTTGCACCGAACTAGTGGTGCTTGTATCCAGTCCTGTACGGCCCGTACCTGCTCCCCGCACCAAACCAGTGGTGCGTGTATCCAGTCCAGTATGGCCCGTACCTACTCCCCTCACCAAACCAGTGGTGCGTGTCGCCAGCCCGGTACGCCCCGTGCCTGCTCCCCGCACCAAACCATTGGTGCGTGTCGCCAGCCTGGTACACCCCGTACCTGCTCCCCGCACCAAACCAGTGGTGCGTGTTTCCAGTCCGGCACGGCCCGTGCATGCTCCTCGCACCAAATCGGGGGTGCGTGTCTCCAGTCTGGTATGTCCCGTGCCTGCTCCTCGCACCAGACCAGTGGTGCGTGTTCCCAGCCCGGTGCGGCCCGTGCCTGTTCCTCGCACCAGACCAGTGGTGCGTGTCCCCAGCCCGGTACGGCTGGTGCCAGAGCAGTCCGCTCCACCGGTGCCTGGTCTAGCTCCGGTCAGCTGCTCCACTCCAGTGCCAGAGCAGTCCGCTCCACCGGTGCTTAGTCCAGCTCTGGTCAGCTGCTCCACTCCAGTGCCAGAGCAGTCTGCTCCACCGGTGCCTAGTCCAGCTCCGGTCAGCTGCTCCACTCCAGTGCCAGAGCAGTCCGCTCCACCAGTGCCTGGTCTAGCTCCGGTCAGCTGCTCCACTCCAGTGCCAGAGCAGTCCGCTCCACCGGTGCCCAGTCCAGCTCCGGTCAGCTGCTTCACTCCAGTGCCAGAGCAGTCTGCTCCTCCACCGGTGCCAAGTCCATCTCCGGTCAGCTGCTCCACTCCAGTGCCAGAGCAGTCTGCTCCACCGGTGCCTAGTCCAGCTCCGGTCAGCTGCTCCACAAATTACATTGCTTTTGTTGTTTTGTCGTGTGTTAACTTAGTTAATAAACATGTATGCATTCCACGCTGCACCTTGGTCCAATCCTGTATTCAACGAACGTGACACTATCACCTAAAGACATTACTCTCTCTGTCATGTGCTCTGCCTTCCCCAACTCTTCTCTCCTTTCATCTCAACTACTGCTCTCTATCTGTCTCTCTGTCTCTCTGTCTCATCTTCCTCCTCTTGGTGCCTTCCCCTCCCTCTTGCCTTCTCTTCTCAGCTCTCTCTCTCTCCACTCTTCCCGCTTCCCCCTCTGTGCCTTCCCCCTGACCCAGGCATTGTTTTGTCAGCGATTCGAGCTGACGGGAGCTCTCTCTTCTCCTCTCACAGCTGCTAGGTGAAAAAACCCATTAGCTCTTTTAGAGGACACAGGTAGATTTCCAACAGTTTGTCGTCTGAGATGAAATTCCCCTCTTTCCTGTGAGTCCCTAAGCATGTCTGGGGAATACTAATAGGGAATATAATTCCCAGATCCGAGTGGAAAAGTGGAAAGGTGGCTATTTTTATGACTCGTCATTCTTACTGGGGAAACCAACGTTTAGAGAAGGGAAGGTGTTGTGAACTTGACGAGCGAGGAAGTGGTGTGAGTCTTTTATAAGTAATGTTGAAATTATTCAAAGATCTACTTACAGCTTTGACAGGATTGTGTAGGGAAGAGAAATAAGGGATTTGAAGATTTTTGAGAGCGAGGATGATGATAAATGCATTTCATATTTGCCTCCCTTTTCCATTGCCGGTGTGTGAGCCTGATGCCTTGATAAACTAAGCTTGGAGGCCAGAAATGTAAAAATGATTGTGATTTGGGTTATGAGAACTAAATGATGCTGGTTGTGGTGGCATAGACGTAGGCAGGGCTAGTCTGTGGTGGTGCTGTAATGCTATTAGCTTGGAGCGCTGTGTAATACAAGGGTTTTAAGCTGAGTCTGGGGACGTCACTTTCCTCCTATTAAGCCCTTGCGAGTCTCAGTGTGTGTCTGATGACAAATCACCACCAATGCGACATGATGGACAGCTACACACACAGACACACACACACACACACTGACTGACACACACACACATACACACTTTACGCTGCAGCATAAGCATGAGAGGAAAATCGGACAGATTTGGACCGTGTGTTCTTGAGTAATTCTTCAGTCTACCCATGTTCCCATCTTTTCCATTTACAGAGCTTCCTATTTCTTTTCCACAATTTACATGCTTCAATTATTAGATAGACAACAATAGCATCTCTCCTTTCCTCTGTCCTCTGCAGGTTGTGTGCCCCTGCCTCTGAATTACCTGGACTGGTCAGACGTGGAATCCATAGTGGCAGTGTGTTTGTCCTGTGTGGGCATCCTGGTCACCCTCTGGGTCATCTTAATCTTCGTGGTGTACCGCGACACGCCCGTGGTCAAGTCGTCCAGTCGTGAGCTGTGTTACATCATCCTGGTGGGCGTCTTACTGGGTTACATCTGCCCCTTCACCCTGATCGCCTATCCCACCGTGGGATCCTGCTACCTGCAGCGTCTCCTAGTCGGCCTCTCGGCTGCCATGTGCTACTCCGCCCTGGTCACCAAAACCAACCGCATTGCCCGCATCCTGGCCGGCAGCAAGAAAAAGATCTGCACCAAGAAGCCCCGCTTCATGTCGGCCTGGGCCCAGGTATTCATCTCCTTCTTCCTCATCAGCCTGCAACTCATCCTGGAGATAACCCTGATCATCCTGGAGCCGCCCTTGCCCGTCAAGTACTACCCTAGCATCCGCGAGGTCTACCTCATCTGTAACACTAGCACGGTGGGCATGGTGGCACCGCTGGGCTACAACGGCCTTCTCATCATGAGCTGCACCTACTACGCCTTCAAGACGCGCAACGTCCCGGCCAACTTCAACGAGGCCAAGTACATCGCCTTCACCATGTACACCACCTGTATCATCTGGCTGGCCTTCGTGCCCATCTACTTCGGCTCCAACTACAAGATCATCACCACGTCCTTCTCCGTGAGCCTGAGCGTCACCGTGGCGCTGGGGTGCATGTTCTCGCCCAAGATGTACATCATCATCGCCAAGCCGGAGAGGAACGTGAGGAGCGCCTTCACCACGTCTGATGTAGTCAGAATGCATGTGGGAGACGGCCAGGCGGCTCAGCAGAGCAAGAGCATTCTCAACATGTTCCGTAGGAAGAAGAACAGACATGGAAGCACCAAGTGAGTAACCTTCAGTGATGTTCAGAACTCAGGTCCTAGAGATGAGGGCATATAGAAGGACAGAATAGGGCCTGCACACTCATTTGGATCCAAAAGTTGTCTTGTGACTACATTTAACATGTGTTTGTAGTCCCTACTCTGTCATTCTACTGTTTTCTGCCCAAATATGATGACATATAATGTGTGTTTGACTATACATTTTCTTGGTAGATTAGCCAATTAGAAACTAAATGTGATAGATATTCACAGATTCACAGATGTAATGCTGAGGTAATATATGTTGATTTAACTCAGAACTGGGCGTATCTTCAAAGCTAGTCCAATTGCAAGATTAACACAAAATAATGAGAGCGTATACTTTATGTATGATGATTAAAGAATAGATTTAAAGTGGATTCCTAATAGGCGTTCCACAGCAAAGATACTGACAGTAAGGATTGAGACGGGAGATGAGAGAATGTTGTCTGAGTGTTGTCTCTCACCATTGCTCTAATATGCCCCTCTCAAACTCTTCCAACAGACAGAGGTTGACTCTGACAGGCTAATGTTTAGACACAGGGCTTGGCAAACTCCTATCCTTGAGGACTGCGGTGTCTTTGGAAAATAAGGGCTCAGTGGTTAGTAGGAGGAGGGTCTACTAATCTTTCTTTATAGCTCCAGACTGGTTGGTGATTACAAGGTATGAATGACAGCCAGGAGACACTGCAGCCTTCAAGGGAAGGAGATGTGCACACCCCTGGTTTAGGCACTTTTGGTTTGTCCTGAATTGCCCTCACATTTATCCCAGTTTGAAGCATGAATGCCTCTCTGTCTCCCTCACTAATCATATAAGAGATACAAATCTAACCTAGCCTGCTATGCACAGCACTAAAACCTTGTGTCATGACTTTTTGTCAGACAGTACAGGCACCAGAAACATTTTGCAAGTGCATGTTGCCCATCTCAGCTTGATAAGGACTTACTGTAGATAGACAGGTCTACATTTGGTGGATGGCTCAAAATACTTTGAATTCAGCCATCTAGGATTCATAATTCTGTTCAAACAGAACATTATGAAATTATGAATCACTAAGTATTTAGTTAAGTGCGCAGAATGATTATTAAAAGCATTGCCTCTTAGAATTAATGAATGACCCACAGAACTGCTGCCTCTTAATGTCGTTAAAACGTATTTAAAGAATTTTAACATACATATAGAAATGTTGAAATGCTGCTGTTATGTTCTATTGTGCTATATTGTTGTTGTTGTTGTCTAACCCTTCCCCCGGGTTGTCTCCGTCAGTAACGGCAGTCTTTATCTCGTTCATAGTTCTAATGGCAAGTCTGTGTCATGGTCTGAACCAGGTGCAAGACACCCTCAGAGGGGGGGGAATGTGTGGCACAGACTGTCTGTGCATGTGAGGAAACAGGAAGCCGGCTCGAATCAGACGGCGGTCATCAGGCCCCTAACTAACGCCACCGTCGACCCCCACAGCTGCGACCCCCGCCACCACCACCACGGCCCTGGCACCAAGGCTCTGTACAACCTGGCGGAGGAGGAGGGCGAGGGGGGGGAAACACGCCCTCTCTGGACTCCCCCCCACTCCCACTCTGGAACGCTCCACGGGCAGGACTCGGAGGAGCCACCCTCTTATTCTCACTTAACGGACTGTACCACCGAGCATTTGCAGGGGGCGATGGTGGACACGTACAGCTCCAATGTCCCTGGATTTAACGACACAATGGGTGCCTCCGGCATTCAGGCCAGCTCCACCAACCAACTCCAAAGTTTCACCTCCTCTCAGCTTTCCCATCCCCTGCAAGGGGGGGCTTCTTTTGGAGAGGAGGGCCTCATCTCCCCCCTGGAGGGGGCTGAGGGAGAGGCACTGGACCTCCTACACAGCTACACGGAGGAGGAGGAGGAAGAGGACGACGACGATGAGGAGGAGGAGGAGGAGGAGCTGGCTCAGAGTAAGCTGACTCTGGAAGACTCCTTGACTCTGACTCCCCCCTCCCCCTTCAGGGACTCAGTGTGTTCTGCTGGGTCGGTTCCCGGCTCCCCTGTCTCTGAGTTGGTCCTCTGCAGCCCCCCGAGCTCTGCCTACTCCTCCGTCATCCTCCAGGACTTCAGACAGAGCTCCTCGACACTGTGAGAGCCACCAGGCACTGACACACACACACAGACACACCATGTTACTAAGAGGTAACATCAATGATTTGATAATGTATTAATTTATACATTTCTCCATTTGCTCTGTCATTCGCTTGCTTGGATTATACAATACTTTTTACATCAAGGCGGAGTCGAAATGAGAGAAAATAAAAAAGAAATGGAATAGTCCAGTAGCAATCATGTTTCTCAAGGGATGTGAGTTCCCACCAGCCTTTCTGCAAACTTTGAGACTGGGAACAGCGCCTACCCGGCTCTTGTGCCAAATGGATTGGCAATCACAATGATGGCTGTAGCTATATGGTTTGGTTTTGCTGTTGTTGTGCATTTAAAATATCCTATGAGACAAATGGAGGGAAGCCCTATTGCTGTGTATAAGGTGCTTGGGACTTCTCCTATGATTTCAGTGAGATACAGGGACAAAGCCGGCTAAAGACTACAGATCACAGAATGTACTGCCTGTTTGGTCCAATACTGTACCTGTGCAGTTCATAATACTATGTGTAGCAGACGCAGCTGTTTCAAAAGACTCTCTTTGCCTTTTCTCATAAAGACTTAGTCGTCAATAAGAAGCACTCGCCTCAGCTTACCAGTACTTTTACTGCTGACCTCATTGCAGCTCAAACATTTGCTCTCTGATAGGAAATAAACTCTCTTTATGAACCGCAGGATATGCTACAGTATATTATATGACTGATGTTTTCATGCAGTATTATGTGTCTCCGACATTGCATACAGGGCCCCAAGGTACTGTAACATAATATACTTTAATTGGAGATTGGGTATTTGCGCTGTATGAGATACTTTGCAACATGTTTTGTTATTGTGCCAATCAAAGTAGTTTTCCAGTTCTCTGCATTAATGTTTACTGTATAGCTCTTTGCAGAGACTGGTGATGAGGCATCTTCAGGAGATTCTGAGATTGTGTACAATATTCTACATTATGTGGTGGGTTTGATTGTAGGCGACAGTAATTTTATGACATAAGTTCAAACATATTCTATGAAATCCTGAGACATGTTTGGTTCACACAGGATGCTATGAAGATGCGATTCTGTTTTCCATACTGTGTAGGGTGTCCACCCACATTGCCCAGAGTGGGTGAAAACGTGTTTTGGTGATGAAATTTCAATTCCTTATGTTATAAAATATATTTTACCAAGACAAATATTATTATTTATGTTCTGAATCATTCAGTGGGGTCTGTCTCTAACATATCATTAACATTATATCCAAAAAGCCGGATTTCGTAACCTAATACATCCTATAATAAGCACCGAGCTCTGTTGACATAGTGGTGCAGGTTTCTCGTAACAACATTTGAGGATTTAACATTTTGTGGTCATCGTCTTCAAAGTTGTTTCAGCGGGTCGCAAAAAGCAAAATATGCATGACACGAGCTGAATTAAATGTAAAAGGCTTTGCAAATAAAAAGCTTGGTATATGCTCTATGCTTCGTTGACATTTCACAGAGATAAGCTTGTTTTTGTGAGAAATCTAAAAAAATAACAGGAATTTCGAATTAATATGAAAAGCGTATGCTAAAATATGAAAATACTACATGTCATGTCTCAAAATCAATATCCATCTTACCTCCATATTGTTTTATGTCCTGCGGATTGGAGAAGAAAGATGACGAGTTCAACAGGAAAGTGAACCTGTCAGGTAGCCATAGCCTTAATTCTTGCACAAATGTACACAATGTACATTTCCAGATTTTTTGCCACTTTTTTCTCTAGCCTCCATTGATTTAGTCACCCTAATTCTGGCCATCCTACAAGGGTAAAAACTCCAATAACTTTTGAACAGATTATGACAGAGACATTAGGTTTGGACCATTGGTTTCTTAGAGGATTATCTACACAATTAACATATTTTACCCATTGGTCAAAAGATGCATTTTTGATTGGACACCCTATACTGTGTGTGTGATGATTTTTTGTTTTGTTTTCTGAGGTCACTGTGTCATTGTAATGGGAATATACTTGTGTATGTTTTCAAAGTTTGTAATACTGTTGAACCATCTCTCGTTTTTTCACACGGATGGTATGTTTGTAATATCAGTAAATGTTTATATATTTAGAATGTGAAACTATTTATACATTTTAAAACTCATCTTACAGATGCCTGTGAAAGAGCTGTGTGTTGACATTGATTTTGGGTAACTTTTCAGATAAACTTTACAAGTCAACCGTATCCTCTTGAAAATATTCAGTTGTAAAGCTTACCAATGGGTAGTTAGTTGTGGTAAGATTATACACGCTTCAATCTCGCTTAGATCTTGTACTATAAAATTGCAGTTGTATTGGTTTACTTGATCATACGTTTATTAGTACTTTATCTATAAGAATGAAAATCCAAAGTATATAAACATGAATATACAGTATGTATAGTACTATAGTATTGTAATTGTTATTACAAAATGTTATATTTAGCCTATTAGTGTAACTTGTTTGAAGGTTTTAACATTTCTTAAATGTAACGTAACAGAAAGATCACGTTTTACACGGTCTCAGCTTGAATGAGGTAGGCCTACATGTTTTTGGCAAGGCGAACAATGCTGTAAAATAAAAACCTTTTATAGTAAGATGACTGTTGATTGCATGATTTCATAATGCTTTAATTTGGGTTAACTGGTGCATTTTTTTCACCAATTAAATGGCAGTCCTGATAAACTTTATAATGCATTTGTCCAAATAGGCCCCTACCATTTGTTTGAACGTTTTGATTACAGGTAAAATGTACATGAATAGAAAACATAATATATTAGGAGCAATTAGTGCGTTTGAACAATCAGCATGAGCAGAGCAGCTCAAAAAAAAAAAAAATGGCAAGTGCCTCTCTCTCTGTCAGACTCACCATGGTTACCATGTAAACACATTAAGAGAGAAAAAAAAGTTTAACCGAAAGTAGACATTTCCGGGTCCTATGACTTTTATCAGGTGGTTTTGAGCAAGTAGGAGGAGGAGGGAAGTAGAGCGCTTTCTATTGTAGTTACCGTATTTCCAAACAACACAGAAACGGAGAGGACAGTTTCCCATTGCCTCATCTTGTGAGAAAAAAGGAAGTTGTTGAGTTTGAGAAAGTTGTCACTGTCACTCGGAGTTTCACACCATGGCAGGCGGCTCGGTATCGGAGTGTAAGGAATACTTGTTCAAAGTCCTAGTCATCGGGGAGTTAGGTGTGGGGAAAACCAGCATCATCAAACGATATGTCCACCAGCTATTCTCCCAACACTACAGAGCGACAATTGGCGTAGATTTTGCACTCAAAGTGATCAACTGGGACAGCAAAACGCTGGTGCGGTTACAACTATGGGATATTGCAGGTAGGACATGGATGCACATTTTCATTAATATCAATACTTTTGAGATGATGTTACAAAAAATAGAGTACCATATGTTATGCACTGAAAGTGCTTGAGTGCAGTGACCGCGCATTTCTAGAGGGGAAGTTTAGGAAATCACAGGCGCTCGTGAAACCCGTCGCGCGTTCCCAGGAGAGCACTGTAAGTAATGTGACTCACAGGGCTGTTCGCACAATCGCAATAACTTTATTTCTTTGTTACTTGTTACATAAGTACGCAGGAGAACATTCAGATTGAAGTTACAATTCCTGTATAGACTGGTCTGTTTCGTTCCCACGTGGTATGATGATCAGGATAGCGCATATAATTGAGAATGGAATGTAGGTCATGGGCTGGTCGCCTGAGTGCCCACCCAGTGCTGAGAGGAATCCAACCTTTGCCAATTGGCATCACATTTCTACAGGTTGAGTAAGTTTCAGTTGGCTCAGTTCACACACACACACACACACACACTCTCTCTCTCTATCTTAAGAATAGCCTACAATCTAGTCTGTGGTGTTTTCCAAACTCAGTCATGCATGCCAGCACATGTTCTCTGTTCTCTTTCCAGTCGTGAACCCTCCATTCTTCTTTTGTCAACTTTATGACAACCCATTTTGTAAACCTCATGACAAGCCCTCCATTCAGGATCTTATCATTTAAGAATCTAAAATTAGATTGGGAGGCAGATTGCCACATGCCACTTGAAACTGTTTACACTGTTTAAAAAGATCCTCCTCACACTTTTGAGTTGTGACTCTGTAAACATTTACAATGGGTTTTGGTTCTATGACCTCAAGGCACTTCACTGCCATATGAGGCCTTACTTCTAGTGGGGGGGCATTTGGTCAGGGATTCATGGGAAGCAGTCGTCAGGTAGCTTAGTGGTTAAGAGCGTTGTGCCAGTAACCGAAAGGTCGCTGGTTCTAATCCCCAAGCCGACTAGGTGAAAAATCTGTCGATGTGCCCTTGAGCAAGGCACTTAACCCTAATTGCTCCTGTAAGTCGCTCTGGATAAGAGCGTCTGCTAAATGACTAAAATGTAAAATGTAAATCATCACTGATAAATCAATTGGTTTGACTTAAAGGCTAACCTCAGCCTCCTACCATGACGAATACACAGCTCACATGATCATATTTCTTCTCACATTCTTCTCACATATTCCCCCCGTCCCGGACACAAAGACTCTAATGCAATCTTCTAACAGGACTCTCATTGAATGGATACATTTATTATTGGCTTCCACTATGCGTCACATGTGAGTCTTTATTAGGCCAGGCAGGAATACAGGCAGCCATATGGATACAGCTGACTCCCTGTCATACGCCTGCCATCTGAGAGAGAGGCTACACGTTTATCATTAGCCAGGAGTAAGAGCTCTCTGTGTGTGTGTGTGAGAGAGAGCGGGAGAGTGAACTATTGCTTTTATAGGCAATCATGAGGTTGTGAGATTGGGATCAGGACATGCACAGTAGCCTATAACTGTCATGATTTGAATTTGTGAAGTATGTTGTGACGGATGTTCAATTCACTATGAATGAGGTTGAATTTGAAACCAGATATAGGACTAGGGAAAACCACTCTGAGAAGTAAAGTCTGACATGTAGGTTGGCAGACTGACATGGACAGAGACAGA